AAGCCGCCGGTATTATTGTATATCGCGAATTGTTTTTATTTTTCTTAAGCTTCCTTATTATTAGAAGACGTGACACCCACGCATCGATATGCTGTTTTACAAAAAAAGACATATATTAGTGAATTACATTAATTTTTAAAAAAATTAATCAAAATCATATATAAGACAAATATAAGACTTACCTCCCCATCGAAATAGCCACTGTCTTCAACCCCTAATAGCACACCCTACCAAGACCGATCAAGCAACAAATACATTTCATCGTTGAGTTTGCTTATGTCAGTGTAACACCCTTGGCTCCGCTCATGTAGATAAAAATCAACTGCGGTCTTAGCCCAAAGGGTATTATCCACAATTGTTTCCGGTAGTTGTCTCCTCTCCACTTCAGATACCGGAAGGGTACTAGCCGGTAACTCATACGAGAGCCAACTCTCATCCATCATGTCCGGTAACGGTGGGGGTTTCTCAATAATTCGATATATTACCCCATGTGAATCGGGCTCTGGAATGGTAGGAGGGACATTTTCAACGATGACAGTGGCCTTTTGAACGGTGGGGGGGACTCTTGAGGAAGGATAGGGGCCTCATGAACGATTGGAGGGGACTCTTGAGGGATGACAGGTGAGTCGGGCTTCTTCTTGCGGAGTCTTCGCACCATTGGGGTGAACGGAGACGTAATAGCACGTGCACGCCGTCTGATGCATGAACTCCGTCGTGTAAGGAAAACCCGACGTAAAGCATCCACCTTATCGGGCCGCTAAAAAAATTAATACATAAATCAGTAAATAAACAGACATGATATTAAACAAAGACAAATATGTTTCAAACTAGCATTGTATTCACCCAAGTCATTATTCTATCATAGTTCACAAAATGCTCAGATAACATTCCAGAAGTAAGCACTTATATAAACATTTAAAAGGACAACATATATAAACATTCCAGAAGAAGAATATTTTACTTTCGCAACACGAAACTTAAAATCGCAACGCGGAAATGACTATCGCAACGCGGAAATGGCTATCGCAATGCGAAATGAAAATCGCAACGACAAAATCGCAATGCGAAATGAAAATCGCAACGACAAAATCGCAACGCGAAATGAAAATCGCAACGCGAAACACAAATCGCATTGCGATTTTCATTTTGCGTTGCGATTTTGTCGTTGCGATTTTCATTTCGCATTGCGATTTTGTCGTTGCGATTTTCATTTCGCATTTCGATAGCCATTTCCGCGTTGCGATAGTCATTTTCGTGTTGCGAAAGTAAACTATTCTTCTTCTGCAAATTGAAACTTGAATGGATTGCATTACTTCAACCAAAAGACAAAAACAAAACCAAAAACAAATACTAACAAAAACAGTTTAGCAGTATTGGCAGTAACCGAATGAATTTATTAAGCAATCTAAGTGAAATGGTTAATCTAAGTGAAATTACGAGTAAATTTATCATCAAGTTAAATATGAAAAATCTTAAACTTACCTCGTTGCGTAGAGTATGAACCTCATTCTACAACGATGCTACCATCTCACGTAGAGCGGCTACCTCATCGCGTAAAGTAGATACCTCAACACGCCATGCACCATCGTCTTTGCGTAAAGTACCGACCTCCTCACGCAAGGCATTGACCTCATCACGTAACTCCCCTAACTCATCCCGTGGAGGTGGAGAACAGGGAGATAAACGTCGTGGCATCTTTTCCGGTCGCCTATCTTACGGTGATGGTGGAGAAGAGGCTCGATGATGTGACAGAATAGGTGATGGCTGTCGTTGTGGAGGTGTATAGTCAGGTTGATCAGGTGATGGCTCTGGGTGAGGTGATAGCTCTGGGTGAGGTGATGGCTCCCGAAGTGGAGGCTGCTCATCATCCGTTCCATCAAAAAAACGCTTACTAGCTTGCCACCAATCAGTGGCAAGCTCAGCTTCCGTGGGTGTCAGCCTCTGTAGAGGAGTGTTGGCCTCCTAACAATATAAAAGCTCAAACAAAGTTAAACGTGTACTAGTAATAACTTGTTTATAAACATATGGTAGTATTTATGTTAACTTACATTATTTATTATCGTATACCGTAGTAAATCTTCCCATTGCAAGGTTCGTTTCCTCTTCCAGGAAATAGCCCTGGGAATATCATTTGAAGTTTTTATTGTATATGTCTTCATGGCGGGAAAGGCCTTAAATATCCAAATCTACAAACAATATAATAACAAACATTAGTAATTGTTAAATAATTACTTATAATTTTGGAAACATTATATAAAAATTCTTACCTTAAAGGCCCAAATAAAGCCTGTCAAAGTGTATTTGGAACCATCGCCATGCAAACTTTTTCGATCATCCAAGGCAGACGATAACTTATTCCATGTAGCTTTCCATAAATACGAGCCCCACGGAAACAGGTTCCACGCATTTAGGTCTTCTACCAATTTGATTAGATCATTTGGAATAGGTTGTCTGGCCTCTCTGCCTAAAAAGCCGGCATGCAAAAGTATTAGAAGGCATACTCGGACAACGTCGACGTCATCCATCCGAGTAAAACCATCTTTCTTATTCAATAATCTCGTCAGGTCTTCCACGTGTAGATTCGACCTCTCCAGCTCAGGAAAAACCCAGGATAGCCATGATGGGCGGGTAATGTGTGTAGTGTACCGACCTACATCATCGTGTCCGAAGCGTAGACCGGTGATTAAGCAAAACTCCTCCCGCCCAAAACACGTATACGCCGGTGGAAAATCAAACCATATCTCTTCATCACGACGTTGTATAGTCTCTGGTAGATCGCTAGTCATGGTTTGAAGAAACATGTGTGTCAACATCGCATCTCCACCGGGATGTTGTACTTTCAGCCATGGCCCGAAGCAAGTATCCTCAAACATTTTTCTTTGTGCAGGTGAAAGCTTCGACGCAATTGTTTTGGCCAAGCTGACTTTATTTCTTAAGGTCAATTGAGCCGAATAAAAGTTCTACAAAAACAATAAACATACTAAGTTAGATATACCAAAAACTACACTGTGAAGATATACCAAAAACAATAATAAACATAAAGAGTAATAGTTTATTCTTCAAACTTAAATTTGCAACACTGTGAATTTCGTATTTGTCTTTGTTTTTTTGTTGAAGTAATGCAATTCATTCAAGTTTCAATTTGCAGAAGAAGAATAGTTTCTGAAAATGAAAATCGCAACACGAAAATGACTATCGCAACGCGAAACTAAAATCGCGTTGCGATTTTGTCGTTGCGATTTTCATTTCGCGTTGCGATTCTCGGTTGATTTAATAAGCAATCTAAGTGAAATGGTTAATCTATTATTGAAATTACCAGTAAACTTATCATCAATTTCAATATGAAAAACCTAATAATAATGCAAAAATTTCAAAAAGAAAATAATTAAAAAAACTAACCCTCGTTGGTTGATTTGGTTGATTTTCCATTTCTGATTGTGAGGGTGGCTCTGAGAGATGGAGATAGACGGATTTCGCCGGAGATGGGGACGGATTTCGTCGGAGATGGGTGAGAGAGTGAGAGATGGAGATGGGACTGAGTTGTGATTTTAGGTTTTAGGTTATGAGTTGCGATTACGGGATATACTGTGGACGGTTCAGTGTTCCAATATATTAATATTCGTGTTTGGAATTTAAAAATAAAATACTTGGCCAGGATACTAATGGCGCTTTGAAAATCGCATTGCGATTATGTATTATCGCGTTGCGAAAGTCAGTATCGCGTTGCGAAAGTAAGTATCTCGTTGCGATTTTGTATTATCGCATTGCGATAGTCAGTATCGCATTGCGATAGTCAGTATCGCATTGCGATTTTCCCAATTCGCGTTTCGATTTACTTATTCGCATTGCAAATTGGGAAAATCGCAACGCGAAATTGGAAAATCGCATTGCGATAGTCATAATCGCGTTGCGAATCTGGAAACTGATTTGCGATAATGGAGATCGCGTTGCGAATTAGCGATCGCATTGCGATTTTGTTGGTCATTTTGACAAATCCGGAAAAAGTTGGTTAAAATCGTATATTATATGAGATTTTTGGTCACTGAGGTTATTTTCTCTATTTTATAATGTGATGTGACTGTTTTGTAATAGTTTGATAAATTTGATGATATTGTTTAACTTCAAAAACTTTAGTGGTTAAAAAATCATTTTGGTATATTTGAGTGACAATTTTGGGTTTTATCCTTTTTAAAAAATAACCAAGTAATGGAGTTTATGGGGGTCAACATAGTTGGCTAGACAAGACCAAAGTTGGTGTCTGCAATTTGCTAGCCGTCGTCTTCCCCACCTGGCTGCGCGTTAGCTAAAATCTGAGTACTCGTCATAACCAGCGAGTAAGCATTCAATCATTTCCAGTAAAAAATTATGAGTTATTCGAATTAATGAATCTTATTTTATAATTCGAAGTTAATTTGAAATTTTTTTTGGTGAGTCGAGTCAGTTTTTCAAGTTTCTGTTTAAACTTAATTATGAATATTTATAATATAATAATATTATTTGGTTCAAATTTAAGTAACTTTCTATAACTATATGTACAATATAAATATATTTTTTCATATGTAATATACATATATCATACTAAGTCTAAAGATTCGACTCAAATTTAAAAATAAATCTATTAATTATTAAAAATTTCAAGTTATTCAAGTTACATTTTACAACTTGATTTAAACTTGAATTTTTTTTCGAGTCGAGTAGAATTTATGAAATTGTAACTTGAAGTTAATTCGAATATAATTTTTTCGAGTCTGAAAAATTAATTTTTTGAGTAGAATGAGTTTTATCTATCTATAAAGAACCAGCCAATATTTTCACATATCCCAAATACACGTGTAAACTAATCTCATTATGGTTGGCTAGAGACGAGCGTAGAGACGCATAAGTTGAAGAAATTTCCTATATAAACCCTTGATTCACTCCATCCTCACATAAGAAAGCGCCAAGTCTTGTTTGCTCAGCACAAAAATCCAGTTTCTGTTCCTCATTTTGCGTGTTGTCTTTCAAGAACTGGCTTACACACAAGAAACTCTTGCGGAGGAAACCGACAGGAACCAGGCTGTGGTTCTTGCCCTCTATGACGCCCTAAACTCTCGAGACGTCCAAACCGTTCACAGAATCCTTGCTCCCGACCTTGAATGGTGGTTCCACGGCCCCCCTACTCACCAGTTTTTGATGCGCCTCCTCACCGGGGCTTCTTCCGACGATTACTTTCGTTTCGACGTCGACCCGCTCTCCCTCACCACCTTCGGATCCACCGTCATCGTTGAGGGCTGCGATCACGGCCGTCTGATCTCCTGGGTCCACGCCTGGACCGTGACGGATGGGATAATCACCCGAGTCAAGGAGTACTTAAACACCTCCCTCACCGTTACTCGACTCGGAGACCCTACCAGATCAGCGGAGATCACACCCGCGCATTGCCCTTCCGTCTGGGAGAGCAGCTTCTCTAGCCGGGTCGGAAAATCTGTTCCGGGTCTTGTCCTGGCAATTTAGTCTTAGGGCAATATAATAAGCCTAAAATAAAACCAAAACTGGTAGTGTCGTGCTTGTTGTTAAGACAGGGAAGAACAGATCGCAGGTGTGTGTTGGTTTAATGTTGTGTTGGTCTGATTTTATAACTATGTATTGTGTTTGTGTGAGTTTGTTTTCCTGTGCATTCGGCTTTGGAGGCATATGGGTTCAACATAAGAGCACCTCCCTGTTCTTTTTGCCCTATTCTCTCTCATGTCACTTGTTTCTGTTGTGCAATAAAAGCCTGGTATTTTTATAGAATTTTCAACTCTATTTTGTCCCTTCACTGTTTAGAAATCTTATTCCCTAAATAATCTTTAATATATCATATTTCCTATTTACAACTTTTTAAAGCATTTTCTTTAATTTAAGCAAAAAAAAATACATGTAGAAGTGATTATGACCCTCATCATGTCTATAATACAATTCTTAACATGTAGATTAAAATAAGAACACTAGTATATTTCCATCGATGTATGGATCATCTTTCTTTTTTTTATTAGAGATTGTATTAATTTTAATATTAATTATCGACTGTCATTTTTTTTATTATTCTTTTCTTTTTATATTGTATATTTTTTTTTAATTTTTAATAAGTTTGTTTGTATAGTACATTTTCATATATCTGATATGTTTTTTTTATATACTTTTAGCATATTTTTCGATTGTTTCGTCATTTTTTCAATTATATTTTTTAAAGGTTGATTTGATATCTTCAAGATTGATTAAGATAGTGTTTATCTTGATATCTTGTTGATATTTTCTATTTTACATTATCAGAATGGATTTAGATTTGTGTTCGTGAATAACTTTTCACATCTTTCGAGTCTGATTTGCGATCTGTCGGGATCTTTAAATAGTTTGATCTCTTTTTGTGATTTGTTTGTCGATGTGATCAGATCTATTTGTATATTTCTTTGTTCAAGTTTTTTTGTTAGATTTTAAATCTTTTCTTGTCTGATCCTTATATAATCTTAAGTTGTTAGTTTGTTTTCAATGATTGTAATAAATTTTTTAACTATGTACTTAATTTACGATTTTGATGGTAAATCTTTAATGTAATTTAAGATATTTTGAATTTTTGAATAAAATTAGTTGCTTCTAAAAAATAAAAATAAAAACTCTCTCAATAAACTTATAAAAAAGAATAAAGTTGAATCATATATTCATTTTTTATGAATTTAATCATCTTGTTGCATGTTTGATTTTGGATTTACAAATTTTAATTCATGATTATAATGATAGAAAACAAATTACATGGGATAAAATCAAGAAGAGCCACACATAAATTAAGAATTTGATTTGCTTATATACGATGAGTAAATTTCAATAGCAGAAGCATATGTCAAAACATAATGAATGGGATATGAACCGATTCATATGAATATATCCCTTTGTACCATCAAGAAAATTCAGAATGTACTAAATAAATATTTGTAAGAATCGTTCCTTGAATGGTTTGTAAACAAATAGGTTTGTAAACGAACCGAACGCACACAGACGGAGGTATGTTAATGTTCGTTTATTTAATAAATAAACGAACATAAACGAACAAATTTTTTTTGTTCATGATCGTTCATTAAGGAATATAACTTGTTCATGTTCGTTCATTTAAATGATAAACGAACATAAACGAACACAAACGAACGAACATAATAAATAAACACAATAAATGAACAACACAAACACAAAAAACAAACTTATTCGAACACAAACACAAAAAACAAACTTATTCGAACTCAACAAATGAATGTAAAAAAAAAGTAAACAACAAGAATAACAACTTAAAATTCATTAATATAACCTGCAACTTTAGAGTTAATTTGTTCGAATATGACAAAAACATACATAAATCATAAATAAGTTATATGAACATAATAAAGTCTTAAAGTTAATTCGTTCAACAAAACAATCTTTTTGAAATCCAAACAACTTCAATAATCTTTGTAACATATTCAACTTGCCCTCTGTTCGAACATAAATGAACGAACATAAGCGAACATATAATCGAACGTTCACGAACGTAAATGAACGAACGAGCCCTTTGTTTGTGTTCGTTTATTTATTTAAACGAACGCAAAATCTTGTTCATGTTCGTTCATTTAATAAATAAACGAACATAAATGAACTTCCCGCTGCACGGTTCATGAACGGTTCGTTGAACGTTGAGTTCATTTACAGGACTATAAACAAAACCAGCCGCCGGCGACTTAATTTTGGAATATTAGCCCAAACTTATGGTATTAGATTCTCAAGTATATGATAAGGTTATGCCCTTTATGTGCCATTTTTTCCTTTTGTCTCCTTACCTAAAATTTCTATATTTTTTTACTTAACATTAAGATTTTTAGTTTAAGAATCCATCAAACGATCTCAGTGCTTAAAGGGAGTAGTAGTGTTCTTCTTATAGATATTGGATTCAAGTAGCTTCATCTAGGGGTGAGCATTTGATCGAGTCGAGTCGAATCGAGTAAAAAATTTTGAATTATTCGAGTTGATGGGTCATATTTTATGGCTCGAATTTAACTATAATTTTTTTCGAGTCGAGTCGAGTTATTCGAGTTTCCGTATAATTTTATTATAATTATTTACAGTATTATAGTAAGGATTAGTTCCAATTTTTTTGACTTTCTCTAGTCATATATATATTCTTTTCACAATATAATGTTATTTAATATATTAAATACAATCTAAAATTATAAAATATATTTACAATACTACATTTTAAAGAAAGTATTTTGAGGGCAAAGTATTGATAAGAGTATAAATGAGTCAAAGAATTGATGGAAATAAAAAATTTGCAAACAATTGCGATCAAAAGACCATATTGAATAAAATGTAAAGTTAATGGACTGAATAAAAAAGAGAGTACATTTTTAATAAAAAAATAAGAATATAAATTACATAGGTATTCTATAGTGGTATAGGAGCATGTGGTCCAAATTTGGTAAAAATTGACTTAAAATGAAGAATGAATTGAAAAAATAGGGAAATCATGAAAAGTTAAGGGACTAAATAAAAAAATAGACAATTTTTTATAAAAAAAGGAAGAACTGAAAGTACATGGGTATTTTACAATGGTTTAGGAGCACGTGGTACAAATTTGGTAAAATTAGACTTAAAATAAATGAGTAATTGAAGAAATAAGAAAATTATAGACTAAATCATAAAACTATCAAAATGCGCAGTCAAATTTTTGAATTTTTGAGTGACTCAAAATTTTTTAAATTTTAACTCGACTCAAACTTGAAAATTGGTTTTCCGAGTTGAGTCGAGTTGTGCTCACCCCTAATTTATCTAAAGGGTGCGTGTGCGTTGTCAATAATTAAAAAAAATTATGAAAAAAAGATTTTTATGTGATAATGTGATTTAAGTTGTTCATCATTTATGTAAATACTCAAAGATCCTTCAAATGTGTTTGTATAAATGTGTCGTGGGGCACACAGCATAGGAGAGCTGGTACAACCTTAGGAATGAAATAATGATAAGAAAAAGAAAAGTAATCTTCCAATGAAGATTAAGGTCATGGACCGTCATTTTCATTCATAATGACGAGCAAAGCTACAATGAAGGCATAATCAACATTCGGATAAACTTTAACCTTGAAAGTTTCATGACCCATGCAGCTGGCCCATGTGTGAAACTATGCCTAACCTCCGCAATCACCGTGTTTCCCCTCTTCACTTTGAACGACAACGACGACAAGCTCGCACTCACATGAAAATCTCTCCCCCCATTCCCCAAGTAAACATCCTGATTGTTTTTTATCCTCATAGCACTGGACCGTCGCACGCAGCAGAGAAAATGGCTACTCTCCGAGCTCTCTCCTTGATGAATCACCCATTCATGTTTCCAGGACAGTGCCTGCAGAAACTCCCAACAAAGGTTTATGAGTACAGAAGGATCTGATCGAATCACTTTTAAAGTTGAAGGACCAACATGCACGTACCTTTGAGCGGAGGGTGGCGACCGGCAAGCCGGCAGGATCTCTCATGACCCGTTTCTTCTGGAACTTCCAGACGCCGCCGTCGACTTGGAGGAGTAAGTTCCCGGCTGCATCCAACACTTGATAGTGATACTTAGAGAACGATTGAAGTCTCTTCTTCACCAGAAGCTCCATCGTGTAAGGCATGCAGAATCGTTCCTCCACTACCTTCACCATCTCATCAACTTCCATCCTCTGAGAATATATCGCCGGATTGCTGCTCTTGAGAAACATCAGCTTTATTCCATTTACCGGTATATTAAGGCAAACGCCGCAATCAATGTTACATCTGTTTGCTTTACTTTATGATCCATTTCACACTTGAACTATAGAATATCTAATGTAAAAAGGGGCAAATTCTGATTTTGGTTCCCTTACACTACTTTTACGATTTAGTACCCGTTATTTGGCATAACTTTTAGCCTTAATACCAAAATAATTGCCTAAACTATATCTTTTTCCTCGAATGGGTGGCTAAACTATTTTTTGACTCATCTCGGTGTCTAATGTTACAAACGTTACCATTTTAGGTGTTCGGGCAGTCAATGGCATTAATTTCTCCCGTTAAGTGACATGTGTCACAATATGATGATTTTGATTTTTTTTAAAATATTAAAATTATTATTATATTTATAAAAAACTTTAATTTCTCTTAAATTATATAAAAAAACCCACAAATCCCTAAAATCTCCAAATCCTAACCTTAACTCGTAGTCACCGCCCTTTTCGACCATGACCATCACCGCCAATGTAGCTCTTTCCATCCTCCTAGTCATAAGCCGTAGTAGTTGCTGCCGATTGGCAATCAGAATCGCGTGGGATCGCGATCTTCATCCTATGGTTCACGGAGGTATAAAACACCGATTCATCGTCAATCGATCACGATTTCATATGGGTTTTGGTCATTGGGGGGAGCTGAGGTCCTATGGAGCTTCGTCGAATGCAAAGGGAAACGGTCGACGTGGGTTTAAGGGTTGAAATGAAGGTTTTTAAAGTTTTGGGGTTATTTTAAAATGTTTATATATATAACTATATATATATTAATTTCTAATTTTAAATAAAAATTTTAAATTACTAGATTGTGACAGTGTCACTTAACGGGAAAAATTAACACCTTTGACGACCCATGTATGGTAACATTGGTAATGTAAGGCACCAGGATGAGTAAAAAAATAGTTTAGGCACCTATTCGGAAAAAATGTATAATTTGAGCACTTATTTCGATATTAAGACTAAATTTTATAATATCATCACCTTTTCCGAAACCCAAAAAAAAATCCATGTTAAATTGTTTGAAGTAAAAAATTGAGATTATAAAAGTAGAGGTGAAATTAGCCAAATTAGTGAGGACTAAATCTCAAACAGAACGTAGTACAAGTATCAAAACCAAAATTTGACCGATAATATATGGCTTAGGCAATGCTTTTCCCTTTCTCTTTTTTCTTTTCAAAAGATTCAAACCAGAATACTTATCCTTTACGTAAATTAATTAAAGCCATTTTGGAAGGGGGAGGATTAAGCAAAGCAGATGGAAACAAAATTTGAACATAAAGGTGTTTAAAAAGATGTACCTCCATTATGCTAAACATCTGTGCAACCACAGCTTTCGAAACATGAATATTGTATTGTATTAAAAATTGAACATTGCATGCCAGGCTCCCGTTTTATCAAAATTTTCCATGACAAGTTGATGAGAAGATATGTAAGCCAAATAATAACATACCTTTAGTAGAGAAGTGGATATATGCAGGCTTATCTCAGGGATGAAGATGAGTCGAGGGAAAGAATCAGGGTACCAGTGGTGTTACGATTTTTGAAGAAAATGACCAACTTTTAGGGTCTAAATTTAGATTTTTTCTCCTAGCAATTAATGGTAAACATTTACAAATTTTGAACTAATGAAAAAATGGAGAATATTTTTTCTATTTAAATCAAAATTGAAAAAAGAAATGCGTAAATGCATTTGGTACTTTCACAGTTTCACTCCCCAAACTCCAAGATCTTAGCTTGCCAGTCCCCATGAAAATCACAGAAGAAAAGAAGAAAGCAATGCATAATTCCAAGCAAAGCGCTAGAGAAAGCAGATCAATTTCCTCCGTCTTTTCTCTTTCAAATGCCAATTCTTTCTTTTTTAAAGAAATCTGGATTTAAATAAACAAGTGAGAAAAAGATTTATTTTTTATGGGAAATCAAGGCTTTGCAAAAGCAGGCCCATCAGACAAGCTCCGCAGAGCGAAACACGTAAAACCCATGACCAGAAACCGAGTTGCTTGCTAGGGAAAAGTGAGTTGGAGTGTGGGTCAGAGCGAGTTATACCGAAGGAATTGGATACCTGCGATGACCCGGATCATGTTCCGTTAGCTGGGGTGGTTTCCCAGTTGGTAAAAGTATGGTTCGAGGACGCTCATGAGGAGGCATAATCTGGTGATACCAATATGCGGGGTCCTTGTTGGTCAAATGTATTGCAGTGGCTAGTGGCTATGGTGTTCCTAAAGATATCCTAAAGGTCCCTTCTTTTTGTTTAAGTTGCTGCCCCTGCTTTTCCTTGCCAATAGAGAGATGGTCATTGCTTTAACATCTTTTTTCATTCAGTTCTTTCTGTTTTTTCTATTTCAGTTGTAGGTTATTCTGACAGACAGATTCGTATTTAACAGAGTTCCATTCAAGGTGATACATTTTTCGTTGAAATGGTTTATGATATTGTATGAATTGCAACGGAAATCTATGTAACATATGCTCGTGTGTTTCAGAAGGAAGTAAACAAGCCCCTTATTATAGTTAAACATACATACATACAACAAATATGGGAATGGATCAAACATGTTCTTACAAGTAATACACATTCTTCTTTGCATTCCAATCACTTCGAGACGTTATCGTTCCTCGAGGACAATGTTACCTACCTTCTCTTTTGTCCTTCCTCCACTCCCATGGCTTCTCAGGGTTTGATTGTGCCCAAAGTCCCATTCGCTTTGCCCGAGCCTTCTTTTCCCACTAGTATTACATACGTACAGAGATCGTAATTAAGAGTTTTGACTCGATGATGTGCAAGAACGAACGAAATTGTCATTTACTTACAGTTGCAAGTTCAGCTCGTTGGTCGTAGGCCGCATAATGCCATGCGAGCCCTTTCTTCAGTATTACTTCCTGTTTGAGAGTATGATTAGCAGATTAATTTGCTCTCACCTGGTAAATCAAGTTCAGGCTTACAGAAAATAGTATCTACCTGCACAAATATGCCATTGCAGTATACATCTGCAACGCAGCGACCGTAACGATCTTCCCCATAGACGAGCACTCTCAAACACTTCCCATGAACAAGCTTAACCAACTCATCTTTTGCTTCTTTCCCATACGGCATTTCATTCTCGGGTGCATCTATACCCCTGTTTTATATACTTTCAACAAGCTATTACATTTCAGTACAGAAAATAGAACACCAAAGTCCTGCGGGCAGATTATTTTACCTTAGTCGAATCCGATACTTTCGAGCAAGAATCTCTTCGTTTTGAAGATTTATGACCCTGGTAATAGACCGATGTTATTGACCTTGAACGAGAACAGTACCAAGCCTAAGAAATGAATGAAAATATTCGACGAGAACAAGTTGAATATAGCTATAACTGGTATCCGGATTTGATAATCATCTGGCGGAGTTCATCAGCCCTGGCATAGTTCTTCTTAGCACGTGCTTTTGATCTTCGGATTGCAGCCTTGAGAACATCTCTAGGTACATTTGATGACTCCCTAGGATCAGCAGTATCCACATACACATTTAAACCATCACCATCCGGTACCGTTTTCCCATCTACCTGATTAAGTTAGATACGTTTTCAGTATCAATCATTAAATTCAATGGGGGCCCAAAATGGCTTCATATATCATATACTCACAGGTAGTGTATGCATTTCAAACTCCACTCCTTCAGGCAACCTCGTCGGGACTCCGGTAGAAATTTCCACGACGATCGAAGGACGAGGAAGACCGTAGAATTCCAGCAATCCCTAAGCACATATGGAACAAAAAAACATCACTGCAACGCATCAACTTGAAAATGGAACAAAAATTTTCGATTCTATTGGCCTTTGGTACCTCAACATCTTCCTTTTGATGCCTACTCAAGGTCTCAACAATAAGCCTAGCAACCTCTTCAGGGGTTTTTGGTGGGGGTTTTGCTTCTTTCCATGCCTGCAGTAGCTTTGCATACCTTAATGTTTTAAAACACCAAAAAAGCAGACAATTTCTTAAAAGAAATGAAATCAGAGATATTCAAAAACAGAAGATTGTTGATGTATGTGAGTTACCATTTGACCTGAGCCTTCCTTGATGATACAACATGTTGACTGAGATCTTCAGGAACCTGAAACCCAGTTTGCAGCTTTCAGCCAAAAAAGATCAACAAAAAAATCACTGGGATGATGAAGAAACCTACCTGGGAAGTGATTTCAAAGTTGAAGAGATCATGAGCAAGAGCTGAAACCCCTGGAGCTGTGGTGGTGTAAGGTGGTCCTACTGAATCAGAATCCCCAGTGATGGTGGGTTTGCAACATTTTCCATATAGGAACCCAAGAGTATTTCCCATCTTTAACTTCAAATCTTCCCTCTCAACCTAAATATTTTTGCTGAAGCAGAGATATTGAGAAGCAGACAAGAGAAAGGTCGGAGAAGACTTTTGGTGGACTTGTGCACCTTTTTTTTCAGTAAAAGAAAAGCAATCAATGAATTTTCATGTATATTTCTGTAGCTACTACTGACCTTTACCAGCAACTTTTTATTATTACCTTGTTTTTAAAATTCTTCATATAATATTTTATAGGGTAAAGTATAAAAATAGTCTCTAAACTTTTAAATAACTTGCATGTTGGTTACCTAACTTTTGAAACTTGAAATACAGTCATCAAACTCTTAATTATTTACATTTAACCCATTAACTTTCTGACGTGGCACCAATAGTTTCTTCTTCTTCTTCCTTCTTTCTTTTTCTTCTTGTCCTTATCCTTCTTCCTTCCTTTTCTTCTCCTTCTCCTTCTTCCTTCTTCCTTCCTTCTTCTCACAACCGAAACATGCGATCCATGTTTCCAAGCACCGAAGATCGAATACATAAAAAGCAAAATGCAATTTGATCGTTAAGAACCCAAAGTTCCGAGGTTTTAACTTGGTTTTGTACTCACTGAATCATCAGTTTATTTATAGAAATAACAATGCCGGAGATCATTTATAGCTCGGACAATGAGCTGTCGGATATTTAATCGGAGACGACACTGTTCGGGAAGTACGAGGTGGAAAAGCTGTTGGGGTGCGGGGCGTTCGCAAAAGTTTACCAAGCGCGCAATGTGAAGACCGGGGAGACGGTTGCGATCAAAGCCGTGAGCTAACGGAAAGTTATCCGGGGAAGCTAATGGCGCAGGTTAAAAGGGAGATCGCCATCATGCGACGGCTGAACCACCCCAACATCGTCAAACTCATCGAAGTGTTGGCGAAGAAGAACAGGTTTTAGTTTGTCATGGAATGCACGAAAGGCGGGGAGTTGTTCACGAGGATAATCAAGGGACGTTTCAGCGAAGATCTCCGCCGTCGGTATTTCCAGCTGTTGATTATAGCCATCGGATTCTGCCACTCCAGAGGCGTTTAACACCGGGACTTGAAGCTGGAAAACCTCCTCCTCAACGAAAAATGTAACTTAAAAATTACCGATTTCGGACTCGGAGCCCTTTCGGAACATGTCTGACATGACGGTCTCCTCCACACGTTATGCGGAACACCGGCTTAGGTTGCGCCGGAGATTCTCGCGAGGAAAGGATACGACGGTGCAAAAGTCGATGTTTGGACGTGTGGCATCATTTTGTTCTTCTGCCACGCTGGGTATGTCCCGTTCAGTGATTCCAATACGACGACCGTAAGTTTGTGGTTGGTGGTTATCCTTCTGAGTAATGTTATTCTTAAAGCTTCAATATAGATTTAAGTGGTAAACAACTTGATTCAAGTCATTGTGTATGCAAAAATATATATTAGGATACTGTCGCAACCGTCTTTCGGTTGGGCTCCGGAATTTGGCTTCGACTTAGGAAAATGGATTGGAGTCGCCACCGATCATTTATTTAAAAATAAATGGGTTGATTGGATACCCTATTTCTTACCTGATATGCGTCTTACCAGAAATATGTCAGGCTCGAGAGTTGGTTACGGTCAAGGAAGGATTAACACCCTTGAACCGCCCTTTCGGTACTACGTAATTTCCAGTTGTCTTAATTAAGAAAATTGTAATTTTAAATTAAAAGGTAAAATTTGATCATGAATTACTTACCTCTGATTAATTGACGAAAATACCCTTAAAAAGTCATAAGATGTGTTAGAGGGAAAAAATGAATAAATAAAAAAAATGAAGAATAAAAATAAGTAAAAAAATAAAATAAAAGGAAAAATAATAAAATAAATAAATGAATTATTAAAAAATATATATATATATATATATAAATGAGTAAAATAGAAAAATAATAATTATAACAATAATGATTGTAACACCCCCAACCCGTATCCGACCCGGATACGAGTCCGAAGTGTCACATTGACTTTTCAAACCTTGACTCTTAAGAAAAATCCCGGGAAATTTAAAACTTTATTTAAAACAAAATACAGACTTTATCAGAGTGCTCGTACTTAATGACTTATTACATGCCAACCCTTTATACATAACCAAATACATACTTTGTCAAATATTTCTGATCTGATCTTTTGGTAAGGAAAACTGACCTGTCTTGCTCCGCATCACTCTTTACTCTTCTCGAAACCTACGTGTGAAACAATCACACGCTAAGTCGAAGACTTAGTGAGGCATAACAACTTATAATGCACTTTAAAACATATATCGATACATGCATGTTCTGTTCTATCATGTTATAGCAATTCCATGCATTTTTCATATCGTATTAAATCATATCAGATTAATTACAGTAAATACATACATACACATAATTCATCATTAACAGTTTATCATATAATCACATACTTTTTCAATCAAACACTATACACACACAACATCATATCATTTCTATAGCATTTATCATACCACTAACTTATATTTGTTCATATCTCTGGATTAGCCCATGTACGTATGTGAGAACTATCGATATGTGAGTCTATAGAGGTTGTGCACTAATGCTGTCACCACAGCTCGTATAATTGCACCGAAGTGCCGCGTAGAATTGCACCGTAGTGCCATAAAATAATGTTCATAAGGACCACATAGAATTCCTTAAGAATCATATACATATGCTAGGGATCAAGTATGTGTCTTTCAAGACTTCACACATGTTCCACAGAATATATATATATCCTGAAGGACCGCGTAGAATTGCACCGTAGTGCCATATAATGATGTCCATAAGGACCACATAGAATTCCTTAAGAATCATATACATATGCTAGGGATCATATATGTGTCTCACCAGACTTCACACATGTTCCAAAGAATATATATATCCCGAAGGACCGCGTAGACCCTCGACTCTTGGCATGCCAACTATACCCCTAGCTCTCATGACACATAACATGGGCGTTATCATTTATTTCATTTCAATATTCACATAAACGTGTAATTCACTTTCACATATCACGTATCACATAGCTTCTTTTCATATTATCACATAGTCACGTAGTTCACTTACACGTAGATCATTTCCATATAATTCACATGTCACATATGTCATGTTTTCATATAATTTCTATCATTTCTCACCCAATCACCTTTATTCATGTAAACATACTTATCATATCTTGTTCACATAAGATCATATACTTCATATAATATATCGAAACACCTAGAACACTTTCACGTAGCTTATAGTCATAGGTCTTATCTCATAACATATACTTGTTTTCACATATATTTCATATCATTTCTTATACCCTCACATAATTCATTTAACATACATAACATATTATGTAACATTATAATAGAAATACCTATAAGTCATATCACTTAGAGCACATATATACTTATAGTCACATTGCTTATATCTTAATCTTATGCCTTCTCTTAGACATATATATATATATATATATATATATATTCACATGTTCAGGTAATCCACCATTTCATCACATAATTATGTATTCATATAACTCATTTCATTTCATATCCATCTATATAAATATATATTCTCAAGATTTATCCTAATATAAATCATATAGCACTCTTATAATTCATATTCATATTCATCTAGGGCAGACTTATAAACACATCTCACTTCTATTATTTCTTTATATATATATATAATCTAATCTGTTTACTTAATTCAATTTCATATAACTCCTATAATCTTCTCATATAACTTCATAAATTTCTATCATACAACCCATGTGTTATAGTTTTATTTAAACATATGAATCTTTTCCATCTAGCTTATCTTATATGTTCATCTTATCATTTATGTTCAAATCTCCTAGTTAGTGTACTATTCTCACTTCATCCTATAGATCAATATTATCCAGCTTATTTCACTTATCATATAATAATAATTATATTTTACTATGATCACATAGTTTATATCTCATATAATTCATAACCTTTCTTATGTAATTACTTATACTTTCTCACCTAACACATAAAAGAACAGATCAATCCATATAATCAAGCATACATACATGCATATTCAATTCATGCCTTTAATCATGCATTCATGTGTAACACTTCAGGAAATAGACTCATCGTAAGTCTTATTCCCATCGCACATCATATACTATTGAATATGCACTCACCTGGGCCTCGTTGTTTGAATCAATCCTAATCCTTAGTTTGTTCCGGAACAAGCTTTCATTCTATATCTACATAATAATACATTAATACTTATCAGTATACTGATTGATATATTCGAAACTATCACTCCTTAGTCTCAAAGAAAAGCCAATTTCATCTTTTAATGAAGGTATGCATCGATGAACTACACCATGCATCTATGCATAAATCCTATTCGATGTTTGTATTTAATGGGGATGCATCGATGCACTCCTTATGCATCGATGCATAAATCCTATTCGATGTTTTCTATTTAAATTCATGCATCGATGCACTGCATGTGCATCGATGCACCTTAAACAATTTCTGGTATTTATCATCGATGCATCGGTGCACAATGAATGTGCATCGATGCACATTGCCCAGAACTGACATTTTAGCACGTAAATCATCAACTCTTCCCTTAATTCTTCTATTTTAAGCCCCTATTTTGACATTAAACTCAACTACTATAACTTGAACCAACTTATATCCATGCAAATCATCTTTAACCTCAAAATCCTATCTTCTTTATGAGATTCAAGAATCATACCAAATTTTCTATATGTTCTAAATCCAATTCTATCACTCCAAATCTCTTAATTTAACCATTGACAAGTCAAATTCATCCTTAGAATTTCAAAAACCTTTCTATATCAAAAGTTCATTTCTAATCTTTTAATAGAAATTCCTTTCTCATTCTCTCTTCTTGATGTTTTAAGCTTATATAAGCTTTCCTTAAGCTTATATAATACTCCAAGAATGAAAATCAACTTATAAATCCAAGAATTAAACAGCTTAAATTAAACTCACCTTTAAATGAGGCTTACGGGGAGAATAAGAAGCTGGAGAAGAAGACTCTGGATAATTATCTCATATCCCACGTGTTTTATAACCCCTTAAAAGAAAGATAAAAATCTTTCTGGTCAAATGACCAATTT